TGCCACTGATTTGTATACATTGATTTTGTTGAATTTATTCAACAAAATAAATTTGCTGAATTTGTTTATCAATTCCAGGAGTCTCTTTGCAAAATCTCTGGGGTTTTCTAGATATAAGAGCATATCAGCAGCAAAGAGCAATAGTTTGACCTCCTCTTTCCTCATTTGGATGTCTTTGATTTCCTTCTTTTATTTGATTGCTCTGGCGAGGACTTCCAGCACCATGTTGAATAGACAGTGGCCATCCTTGTCTTATTTCAGTTCTGTGTGGGAATACTTTCAACTTTTCCCCATTCAGCATGATGTTAGCTGTGGGTTTGTCATATATAGATTTTATAATTTTGAGGTATGTACCATCTATGTCTATTTTGTTAAGAGTTGTTATCATAATAGGGTGCTGAATTTTGTCTAATGATTTTTCTGCATCTATTGAGATGATCACATGATCTTTGTTTTTGCTTCTGTTTATGTGGTAAATCACATTATGGCTTTACATATGCTGAACCAACCTTGCATCCCTGGGATGAAGCCTTCTTGGTTGTGGTGGGTTAATTTTTTTATGTGCTGCTGAATTTGGTTTGCTAGAATTTTATTGAGGATTTTGCATCTATATATTCACATAGTTTTCTTTTTTGTTGTGTCCTTTCCTGGCTTTGGTATAAGGTGATACTGTCCTCATAGAATGAGTTGGGGAGGATCCCTTCCTTCTTAATGTTGTGAAATAATTTCTACAGTATGGGTACAAATTCTTATTTGTAGGTCTGATAAAATTCATCTGTGAAATCATCTGGTCTGGGAGGTTTTTTTTCTTTTATTGGAAGATTTTTTTTATTGCTGCTTTAATTTTTTAGCTTGTGTTCCAAACTAAGCTTTTCTACACTTCCCCATATTTGTCAATAGCCCTTTTCATTTTTTTAAAAAAAAATTCATCAGGTCTAAGCACCATGTAGTTATCTTGGAATATTTCCTCTCTATCATTCACTAAGGAGACTAAGGCATCAAAGCATCAATGTCAGTTGATTTTTTTATTCAAAATATCTCTCAGAACCAAGAGTTCTTCAGCAATACCTTGTTCTAATACATCATCACCACTTCCCACTTCCTGTCTCCCATCTCTACATACATCAAGCCATCCTGTATACTGCAGATAAGTTAATTTTCCTAAGACACTACTTTTATTATGTCATTATGCTTGCTACTTACTATTTATTAAGACCAAATTCTTCAACCTCATAATTGAGGACAGAAAGTGGCTTTTTAAAAATGTTTCCTCCACCTGGATTTGCCCTTTTTTAGCTCTTTCCTCCATTCATTTGAGTGAACCCTTTCACCCTTCAACAGCCCACTTTCACGGCACCTCCTCTGTAAAGCCTTTCCTAAACGAATTAATCATTTCATTCTCTGTGTTTTATAGCATCCATCATACTATAATATAGTTTACTGTTTATCTGCCTCTCTCTTGTACTTTCACTTCAATTCTCAAGATCTTTAAGGTTAAAGACTAGATTTTATTCATCTATTTACTCCCCAAATACAGCACAATATCTGGCATAAAGTAGAAATTTAATATGTATTTGTTAAGTGAATGAATAAAAAATAATGACAGTTTCTTCTTTTCCGTGGTGTTCTTTCTCAACTCTGCATTTACTTACATTTTCCTTACTTTTCTGAAATGCCTTTGCATTGTTCTCCAACAATTCAAATTCAATATATTTTTGGAAATAATTGAAAGCAAAATGATATATTTGGTATTATTGGAACTATTTAAATGTAGGTATATATTCAACAACTCTAAGGTGTATCTATATTAAGGTGGTAGAATTTATGGTTACTGTTAACATTGGCTTTCTTTTATACAGATATTTAAAGTTTTCCATTTTGCTTTATTGTGCTGCTTTTTCAAAGTGGCAGATCCCCTATTAAAAATACATTGGAAAATGATAACTACCTGTTGAATATTCACCACAAACCTATCATTCCCACACATACCCCCCTACACACACACATAGACACACACCAAACTATAAAGTTCCTTCAAGTATCAGATCAAGTTCTACCTCTTTTATTAAACTTCCCATAAATAATTCTATTTTACAGTTATGTTTTTCTTAAAATCCCTTTAGCACTTCTAGTCTGTAAGAGAAAACTATTATTTCATTCACTGTGGCCAACTCTTTTATCTCTTATCTCATTAAAGCTAGAATTTCTTTAATTTAATTTTTAAACTTTCATAGTTTCAGGTAAACAGTAGGTAATTAACCAATACTTAGTAAGTTTTGCTGTTGTTGTTGTTGATTTTGAGGTGATGATAAAGGCCCCAGTGGGGCCCCAGCCAGGCCTGACAAGCTAAGATAATTTTTTAATGTCATAGGTCTTTATAAAAAATTAGCACCTTCTCTGCTGGAAACTCTTTGTAGTTCTGTTAAATTGTGTTTGCCCCTGGGTAGAATTTTCTTTTTTGCTCCTCAATTTAAGGTATTCACTCTCTAAGCTTTTTGAGCATTCTCCTGCCAGGCTCCTGTCTGTCTGTCTCTTTCTTTCGTGTTTTCTCTCTCTCAACCTATTTATGCATATAAACCTTTTTTCTCAAGTATACAATATCATTCTTCCCAACAAGGTAGAAGATAAATCTTCTGCTAATGACTTGACACTACTAAATTTGAACACCACTTATTGAAATTTTACTGACTAGGCAAAGGTTTGTTTTTGTTTTCCTGCAGCAGCATGAAATAATATATCATATATAATTTATATTTCTTTTAACAGGAAGGCTTCTTCTTTGAAATTTACTTTAGATTTTATTTTTAAAATTACATAGCCTTTTATATCATTTAGAAAAATCACATGTCTAGCAAACCAAGATATGTTTAGTAAATTTTAATATTGATAGATATGTATTTATTGCTGCTAAATTTTAAAAATTAATATTTAAATAAAGCATTGTTTTAAGTCCATTTTACACTAATCTTAGGTTAGGTGTTTAAGTTACTTGTGATAGAGCACAAAATCACTATTTAAAGAGCTGAGTATTATTTTATCTTCAGAATGGAATCCCATCTTCAACTGGTACTTCTTCTAAACAAAAGTATTCATTGATCAAGTTGAAGTATAATGACACATTTAAAAATTTCTCCCATTATTTCTAATGTCATATAGTTTTAATCCATATTTTAAAATTGAATCAGTAACAAGACTGGATATCTGCTTAGATATAACATTAATATTTTGGAGCTAGTACATGATTTTTCTCATTGTCTAAGTCTAGGCCATTTGTTTGAGATCTTATTGCTGCTTTTTAGTGTACTTAAAATGAGCAATGTACATACAAATCTTCTTGATCTTAAAATTTTAAATCATAAAGCCCAACTCTACTCTTTTTAACTCATCTAGAATTAGTAAATTAATTTGAGAAGAAATATAGTATTAGGTTATGTCATATTTGTCACTTAATTCAGTCTAAATTTCAACTTATCTGTGGTCACTTAGGGTCTGGAGCAGCTCTCTGGAACTTAGAGTGTGGTTTGATACACTCAGAGTCATGTAGTTCTCTTTGATGGAGTGAACAGCATTGCTGTGAAACTCTTAGAACAAAAGAGGACTGAAGAAATTAGTATATGGACTATAGACTATAAAAATCCATTAGAAAATAAACCTTACATTATATAGTTATATGGCTAATTAATTAAATTATTAATTAAACATACTGAATAGTTGAACAAATGAGGATGAACAAAAATGTTTCTTTAAAGGCAGATTTAAATGAACACGCATACACACACCTGGTTAAGTATTCTTTTCTTAGCATATTTATTCTCTGTTTCTTTAAATCCAGGATTGGTGTACTCTCAGCTTGAAATTGTGACTCACTAAGAAATAACCTGCTGTTTATCTGTTGGCTTAAAACTAGAAGCTCCAGGAGTGAGTTCAGAATTAGCTAGAGCAATTTAAGCATTGGTCTTTAATCTTTGTAATGATACCCCTCAGGTCCTAACTATCTAGGGGCTATTTAGCCCTTGTTATCTCTTGCAACTTCTTTTTTTCTTTCTCTCTTCCCTCAATGAAGGCAGGAAGCCAGGAGGACTAATAGCTGCCAGCCATTTCTGTTAACAAACCCAAGGTGTTTCTTAAAAGCAGACTTAACAAACAGAAAAGTAACTTTCCTTTACAGTTTATTTCCACCATAACAAATCAGCTTTGACTAGAGCAAATATCTAATGTCTCAACATGAAGAGAATAAAAGTCATAGTATGATTTTCTCTGTTTTCACTACTTCATGGTAATGGATTATTAATACCTATTGATTTCCACTTATGTCTATTACTCTGAATTCACAAATATATCTACTGATACTATACTTTAATATGAATGGTGCTTTTTGTTGTTTGTTGTGATCTCCTGAAATTCTTTCAGAAAAAAAATGTGTGTGTGAGTGTGTGTGTGTGAGTGTGTGTGAGTGTGTGTGTGAGTGTGAGTGTGTGTGTGAGTGTGAGTGTGTGTGGGTGAGTGTGTGTGTGTGTGTGGTTGTGAAGTTTGGGAAAGGCAGAAGAGACAGGGAGAGACAGAACGAGCTGTTCAGATGGTTCTAGAAATAAATGGTATGAATAACAGAAAGCTAATATTCTTATATTGAACTTATCTAAAAAGGTGATTTGGGTCAGAAATTGTAGTCTTAACCCTGTAGAATGTAAAAATAAGCCTATATCTTATAATTTGCTCACTATTCAGACTTGCTTTAATCACTGTTAAAGCACCGAGTCCACTGTTTTCATCCATGTAGGGCCCAATGTAGTCCATTGATTTTGTTTCATGTTATGTGCAAATCAACTATCCTCATTTTAGAGTAACTGAAGGGGCATTTGTGTTCTCTTTAGAGTTGAGTCGTGCCATGGAGGACTGATAAGCATCATCAATTAAATGATGCACATTCTGTTCATGTTTTCATACAAATTCTGTCATAACCACAAATCACCGATGCTATTGCCCCATCTACTGTATTGCAGGAAAAGCAGAGGTTTCTGACGGATGTTCTGCATGAAGTGATGCTGCTTGATGGTCTGGCCAGCTCCCACCCAGTATCACAGGAAGTGCTACAGGCAACAGATATTGACAGGGTGTTTGACTGGATCGCATATAAAAAGGTGGGAACAGATAAGACCCAAGTGCCAATAAGATATCTCACTACTGGGGTAGCTAAACTATTTCATGCTAGATGTATTATATTCTCCTTCTCTTCCTGGTAAATAGAAATGGACTGTGAGTTAGAAAACACAGAATCACTAGATTCATGTCATTTTATGAGCTAGGGCTTTGCTTTATAAATCAGTAAAATGGAGATGAATGTTTGCCAAATAATGCATAGAAATATTGGAAGTATTAATGAATAAATGTTTGGAGACTTGATATGAAATTGCTGTACAAATGGTGTTATGTAAATGTCAGGTTTATTATTATTAATAAGAGAGCTGACCTATATAGTGACAAATTATTTTTTACCTATGCCCCTTAAATACTTATTTATTATGATTGGCTGATGTAAATGAACATAGGCAGTGACATGATGACATATGTATTTTATAAACATTATTTAAAGGAGATTTTGGAAATTAAGCATATTTCCAGGATAATAAGCATAATAAATGAAATTTTAAATATAAGAATTGAATTGAATTCACAGAAGAATTTTACACCAATGACTAGATGTAAAAATAAGGTAAAACATGCGTTTTTTCCATTGTCACTTGGATTAAAATTTTTCTTTATATCTCTATTCCTTACTTCTAATTTTAACATAACAATGTGCATTTCAGTGTTTAATACTTACTAGCCACTACATAGTTAAAATAGGTGAAATTCTACTAGCTTCTTTAGTGTAGATTGAATTGTATTTTTTGAAATTTGTATGTACTTTTTATTGATTTAATAATGTTTTAAGTTTTTAAAAAATATTACTAATTTTTTTATAAAAATATATTTGTATTTAATAACTAAAGGTCAAACAATGATCTTTTGGAAGACTTTGGTGTGGTAATTTGGATATTTGGTTTTGCTCTCAGGTAACGACTATCTAAAAGACTATCAGTACTGTATGCCATAATATATAAAGATATAATACAAATTGTGTTAATAGAAGATGTCTTTTCAAATTACTGATCATTGCAGTGGCTCAAAAAGAGTGTTTTTTAATGTTTTATAAAAATAAGTGGAAGTATAGAACCATAGCATATTTAATATGTATATTAATTTTTACATATGAGGTTTTTTGACTAGATTTTGTTAGATGTACACTTAGTTTATTTAATTATATTGATTCTTTGGGTATAATGCAGAAAATAATTTATTAAGATAGCTTGAAATGAGTTTGGAGGCATGTCTATAGTTATTTCCCCCCACTCCTAATTCTAAAAGACTATTTATAAATGTCAGTTTTACTTTAGCATGAATAAATCATGAAATAAAAATAATTGTTCCAAGATACATGCATATTGTGGAATACATAGGTATAAAGAAATTTGTGTAGACATTTGTGTTGTTTCTAGCTTTTGGCTATAACAAATAATGGTGCTATGAACATTCATGTACAAATGATTGTATGTGTATTTGCTTTCATTTCTTGTGGGTAAATACCTAGGAGTGGAATGTCCAGATAATATGGTAGGTATGTCTAATATTTTAATACCCTGGTGGACTGTTTTCTGTTGTTTTACCATTGGACATTGTACCATTGTACATTGCCACCGACAATGTCTTAGAATTCTAGTTTCTTCACAGTTTTGCCTTACATCACTAGGTATGATCAAGCCTTTTAATTATAGACATTAGAATGGTAGCGTGTTTCCCCGAAAATAAGACAGGGTCTTATATTTAGTTTTCCTCAAGAAGACACCCTAGGGCTTATTTTCAGGGGATGTTATTTTTTTTAAGTATGGTACAACAATCTACATTTATTCAAATATAGTTAAGTCTTCTTTTTCTGGAACATCATCATAACTCTCCAAACCCCGAATTCCATCCTGAATTTCTTGCAACTCTACTTCTTTTAGAACCATTGGCTCCAATTTCTCATGTTGAGCAACAGAGCTTTCATGGGGCAAATGAGAAGGGCTGCTCAGTTTCTTTATCCTCCATGACAAAATGTATGGGTTGTGCAGATACGTTGCCTAGGCACGCCCATCATTAGGTCTTATTTTTGGGGTAGGGCTTATATTGCACAAAAAATGCTTAGAAATCCTGCTAGGGCTTATTTTATGGGTAGGTCTTATTTTCAGGGAAACACTGTATCTCACTGCGGTTGTAAATTGCATTTCTCAAAGGACTAATGATATTGACTGCTTTTTCATTTGCATATTTCCCCTAATATGTCTTTCTTGGTGAAGGGTCAGTTTAATCTTTTAACATTTTTAAAAATTATGTTTTTCATTTTTTATTATTGAGTTTTGACATTTTTCTATATCCTGAATATAGGCCCTTTATCAGACATATGATTTGCAAATAACTTTTCCCAATCTGTGGCTTATCTTTTATTTTCCTAACAATGTTTTCTGAAAAGCAAAGATTTTAATTTTTATGAAATTTACTTTACATGGTTTTCTTTCATTGATAGTGCTATTGGTGTCATGCCTAAGAAATCTATGCATATCTTAAGGCCATAAAGGAGTTTTTGTTGTTTTGTTCTTCTAGAAGTTTTATAGTTTGAGGGTTATATTTAGATCCATTATCAATTTTGAGGTATTTTTGTATTGGTGTGAGGTCTGGAACAACTTCTTTCTTTTTCTCTTTCTCTTTCTCTCTCTCTCTCTTTCTCTGTATAATTATTCAAAAGCAATTTCTTAAAAACTCTATCTTTTCATGACTGAACTGTATATGCACATTTGTTAAAAATCAATAAACTACATATGTGTAGATCTATTTCTGGTCTATTTATTCTATTCTGTTCATATATTTGTCTAGCTTGGCTGTAATGCCACCCAGTCATGGTATTGTAGCTTTATAATAAGTTGTGTAGCTTTATAATAAGTTGTAAAATAAGGTCATGTTAGTCCTCCAACTTTGTTCTTTTTTATTTTTTTAAGTTATTTGGTTATTCTTGGTCCTTTGCATTTCTATATGAATTTAAGAATAAATCTGTAAATGTCTACAAAAATCATTATGGAATTGCAGGGATTGTATTGTATTTATAAAACCATTTTGGAGAAAGGACATCTTAGCAATATTGATTGACTCATGAATACAGTATACTTCTCGATTGTCTCTCAATGTAGATTTAGTGATTAGATCTTTCATATCTTTTTTTTCAGATTTATCCCTAAGTATTTCATAATTTTAGGCTATTATAAATAGTATTATTTTTAATTTTTTTTCTTTCTGCTTTTTGTTGTTTTATGTAGAATATAATTTATTTTTGTATACCTATCTGCTATAATGTTAAATAGAAATGGTGACAGCAGATATCCTTGTCTAACTTTAGAAGCAATAGATTCAATCTGTAACCATTATTTATGATTTCTCTAAATTTTTATAAATACCTTTTATCAGGTTGGAGATGTTGCATGCTATTCCAAAATTGCTGAGAGTTTTAATCAGAAATGGCAGTTGATTCAATCCAATGCTTTTTCTACTTCTATCAAGATATAATTTTTTTGTGAATTATATTGATTGATTTTTGAATATTAGACCATCCTTTCATTGCCGCAAGAAAAAAATTTTTGTCATAATGTATTCTCCTCTGTATATATTATAGGATTATTTTTTCTAAAAACATGTTTAGAAGTTTTACATCTATATTAATGATGGATATTGGCATATACTTTTCTTTCTTGTAATGTCTTTAGTTTTATTATCACTATAATGCTAGCATTATAGAATGGAAAGTATTATCTCTTTTCAAATTTCCCTTTTTGGGAAAATTTTTGTAAAAGTTATTTGTTTTCTGAATGGTTTTTGGATTTACCAGTACACCAATATAGTTCTGGAATTTCCTTCATGGGAAGGTTTTTAACTAATAATTTAATTTTATCAATATAAAAATTGATTGGGTAATTCAGGTTATTTATTTCTTTTTGAGTGAGCTTTGGTAGTTATTTCCTTTTCAAAGACTTGGCACATTAATCTAAGATGTTTAATTTATTGGTATAATGTTGTATGTGATATATTCCCTTATTATCCCTTTAATAACCATAGCATCTCTAATGATGTAATCTCTTTCATTCTAGATATTGGTAATTTGTGTACTATCTCTGTTTTGCTGATTTGTCCAGCTATAAGTTTATAAATTTTATTGATCTTAAAAAGTATCTTTTTTATCATTGATTTTCTCTCATTTTCTATTTCATAGGTTTCCTCTCTAATCATTATTATTTTCTTCTTTTACTTACTACGAGTTTAACTAGTTTCTCTTTTTTTTTAGTAGCTTATTTTAAAGATAAGCTGAGGTCATTAACTCAAGACCTTTCTTCTATTCTATTTCAGGCATTTATTCTATAAATTTCCTTCTAAGTGTACAGCCTAGAGAATTCTCCAAACTTTGACATATTGAGGTTTAATTTTCATTCATTTAAAGATACTTTTCTATTTTCCATTTAATATGTTAATTTCCCAATGTGTTAGTCAGAGTTTATTATTTAATTTCCAAATATTTGAAGATTTTCCAAAAGTGTTCTGTTATTTATTTCTTATATAATTTTATTGTGGTCAGTGATATACTCTATATGATTTTAATCTTCTTAGATTTATGAACGCTTATTTTATGGCCCAGAAATTGGTATCTGTTGATAAATGTACTGCATGTACTTCAAAAGAATGTGTATTCTACTAGTGTTGGTTAGAGTGTTCTATAAATGCCAATTAGGTCAAGGTGGTTGATAGAGTTGTTCAAGTCTTCTGTGTCCTTATTGATTTCCTGTCTACTTGCTCATCATGCTTTTTTAAAGTGCCTTCCTTGTTTGGATTTATCCACATAATACCAAATCAAACACCTAAAAATATAGAAAAAAAATAACGTCCCTGTTGCCTGCTTGCTTATCTGAAAATATAATCCTCAAATGTGAATGTGGAAAAATGAGTATCTGAACATTTAGGTTGAAATTTCAGGGACTTCATTTTGATAATCTCGGGTGGCCTTGATGCCCATTCAGTGTCTAAG